TATAGTTTCTTTTTCATTTTTTTTTTTTTTTCATAATAAGCTATGGACAATAACAGTCATACTTTTGTGTTCGTCTAATCTGGAGCTGCTGGTAATGAATTTATGGATAATAAAAGATGATTAAATAATAAATAAATAAATGAATTAATAAAATGAAAAAATATATATATATATATCATAAATTCGCAAAGGTCAAGAAATATTTCCGCTTCAGGTGGAAATTCTGTATGCAAAATGACATACATTCAAAGACAAATAAAACCACAAGAGCGTCATATATAAAGACTTTAATTTCATTTAAATTTAATTTTATTTAATTCAAAGAGTTTAATTGCATCCAATAAGAAAAATCACAAAAGCGCGACATAAATAGATTTCCATTTCCAGAATCTCGAAACGCCATCATGAAATTATCAACGACGACCTTGCTCGTGGTGGCGCCCCTCGCCCTCCTGACGCTGAAGGAGGTCGAGTCCAAAGAGAGAGAGGAGACGACCGAGAGAAACGCCCCGCAGGTCTACACATACAGGCCCCCAAACCAAGGCTCCGTCTACCCTCACAACGTCTACCCGAACAGCATCTACCCGAACGGAGTCTACCCTAACAACGTCACTCCTTATAACCCATCAAACCCAGCGTACAACCCCGCCTATAATCCCTCCGTGACGAATAACAATTATCCAGGGACTGTGGGAGGGGTCTATCCTTACAACGGCGTGGGGGTCGGGGGTCAAGAGGCTTTCACGGTGAGGAGAGCTTCGCCTTACACGACGCAGGGATCGAAGGTTATCTTCACCGACCTCGTCACGCAGGTAAGGTTCGAAGGTTGGTTATTTTTAGAGATTTATATATTTTTTAAAAAGTAGGATCAGTTGTTGATTAATGTTTCTACGTGGATTGATTTTCTTTCTTTTTTTTTGAAGGAGGGAAGGGGGTGGAAGACGTTAAAGAATCGAGCTTGCTTTTTTTTATCAATTTCATATATTTTTTCTTTATCTATTTTTCGTTTATTTCTCATATCCACCCATCTCTTCCGTCCTTATCCCTACCCCCTTTCTCCTCATACCTATTTACCCATTCTATCCATCATCTTCCAGGTGGGATCCGGGTGGAACATCGCATCGGGTGAGTTCGTGGCGCCATCTGCTGGACTCTACTTCTTCGCCTTCTCTGCGGTCTCCGACAGGTACAATCACTTCAGGTGAGTTTAGCCCGTTATTTGTTAATTTTGCGGTTCTCCTGTGATGTTATTTTTAATGGATAGTGTGTTCTAAATTTGATGATCAATATTGAATGGATGTTGATGTGGAATAGTGAGGAATAAATAGCATTTTTTTTCTTAAATGTGATGTCGAAGAATACTGACTTTATTTTAAAAATACGTATCCTTATCTCGTGATTAGTCGAAGAATACTGACTTTCAGGTTAAACAAAAAAACGTTTCCTTATCTTCATGAAATATCGTGTTGCTTTTACCTCTCTCTTAAATATATATTGAATCTAGAGCTGATATGCATAGACCATTTTCTAAGGCATTATAAACATTTATGTCCCTTTCCTTTTCAAGAATAACGATGCAACACAACAGCCGTGACGTAGTGAGCGCGTTCGGGGATTCAAGCGGATACCAGATGGGCAGCCAGAGCGCCATTCTCAGCCTCAACGCAAGAGACCGCGTTTTCCTAAGACTGGATGAGGGCCGACTGCATGACGTCACATCCACTAGGGCTTACACCACCTTTTCAGGATTTAGGATCTTTTAAAGTATTTTTTGTAGTGGTTTACAGTCGATGGACATGAAGTAGTTTTTAATCCATTTGGGATATGTGCTTTATGGCGGCTGATTCGTTTTTTGACTTATTGTTTAATTAATAACAAGGTTTTGCAGCTATCTATAATTAGCCAAATGGGATTATAAAATGCTATGCAAAATATACTTGATTGGGGGTAGAAAACTTAGAAGACTTAGAATATTTGAATTAAGGGTGATAAATATATTTTTTTAATATATTGGAGAAACATTTGCATCTCCTTCCCTTCATCCAGTAATATAACCTTCAAAAAAATTATCTTAGTATATTCATTATGTGTTTATTTTAGCGTTTAGAATTAGTTTTACACTTATAGATAAAAGAAAATTCGTTTACAAAAATCCAATATGCAGTGTGATGGTGCAGTAACCAGAATAAATCTCAAAACAGAGCATACAGTTTCTCGAACGCTGAAAATAAAAATGGCGGCAATTCAAATCTTCTCACAAACTATCCAAACTGTCCTATTCGATTGTTTGAGACCTGAATCCTCAACGACTCTCACCTGAAGTAATGCCTAGGAAAACCAAAGATTATTTAGGATGTAGGATTGACCTGAGAGAGACAAGGTGTCAAGGAAGGAGTGTGTGTCTAGTCTAGCGGTCGGAAGGAATCTTCAGTTGCATTTTTTGTTTCGTAATGAATGCAAAATGAATGGATTCTTGGGATCTATAAGATTGAATAAATTT